TCGCTTCGTCTCCACTTCCACGTGCAGAGAACCCAAACTCCAGTTTGTCGCTCTTTGTGACATCCACACCTAGTGGATCATATGATGATCTGTTTTCGAGTGAGGTGGGCAGTCGGACTGGGTCGCCGCCCCGCTGCGGACCTTCCATGTACATAACAAATCGGCGGGGCGGGAGAAGTCCTACGGCGGCTTTACGCTGCCCGGATGACGCTGATTCGTTCAGGGTGCTGACTCAACATATGATACAAGTGTGCATTCTTTGTGCAGTCTCGTGTTTAGCTCGGTTCCAAGCTGTGGTAGCCTCGGCGTCGTACCGGTGAAGCCTGTCTTGCAAGGGCAGGCAAAAAGCCAGCACATCGTCGGCATCAGTGGTCGTTTGCGGGCGACAAGACAGTATCGTCAGTCGGCGGTTCTTTCAGGCATGCGGGCGACGAGCCAGCATCACCAGCATCAGCTGTCGGAGCTCGTTCACACTTTGCCAATGAAGAAGCAGCATCATCAGCATCATTTCTCGCAGCTGTTCATGCTTGCAGGCGCAGCAGCAGCATCATTGGTCGGTGGTTCTCAAGTTCGCGGGCCGAAGGAACAGCATCACCAAGCTTATCGTCAGCCTCCGCGGTTGGAGCAAGAAGTTTGCGGACGAATTTGCGGACGAAGGAGCAGCATCATCAGCATCAGTGGCCGGAGCTTTTACAGTATAGCAGCGAAAGAGGCAGCATCATGAGCATCAGCGGTCAAAGTGTGTTCGCGACAGACCAGCATCAGATCTTCCATAATTTGAGGGCGAAGCGGCAGCATCATCAACATCAGCAGTCGCATCTTTTCAAGTTCTCGCAGACAGAGCTAGTTGGCAGTCCAGTCGGAGTGTTCAAACTTTGCGGGCAAAGAGGCAATATCATCAGCCTCAGCGCTCGGAGCTTTTTGGGGCTTGCGGGCGAAGGCTTCTCATTGCGAAGAGGCAGCAGCAGCATCATCGGCATCAGTTCTCGTAGCTTGGGGGCGAAGGGCAGAATCATCAGCGTCAGGAAGGGCCGGCATCATTCGCATCTGCATCAGCGTCGTTCAGGGGCGGCTTGCCTGTATGTCGCGACTTCGGTTCAGCAGACATGCAGGTGTCGCCGCATCAGGGGCAGGCCAAGTCGCATACGTTACCTTGTTCTTGAAAATCCCTTCACGGGGTGGCTGCGTGTGGCTGATCGGTTTCCCGGAGTTGGCCCGAGACTAAGGTTCCTTCAGGTCTTCGAGTCGGGTCACCTGGTCCCCAAGGATCAGCCGGAGGTCGGGTCCTGGGGCTCCCTGCATGTTCAATGCTGCTGCCCTGCCAGGTGGCCCTGCTGATGCTCCGGCGATTTGTGTCCTTGCACTCTGACTGGGCAGCTGCGCCGCCCACAGCGCTGCAGTCCGGCCCCAAAGGTTTGGGCCTGAGGACGCAGTCTCCGGGAGCCACGCAGGCCCAGGCGGGCCCGGCGTTTTGGGCTGGGCTCTCGGCGCTCTTGGGAGCCTTTTGCCTGCTATGGACTTTGCGCCTCTGGAAGTGGGAAGAGCCCGAAGGGCCATACTCCCTGATGACATAGTCCTTAGTCGAGCCCGAGAAGAAGCACGAGGGCGCTATGAAGAAGCTCTGAGATTTTTGCTGGGAGGGTTGGGGGCCATTGCCCGAAACAGCTTGCTGTGGTTGAGGCCTGGCGTTTGTTCAGTTTGAGGGTGTGCAGGAAAGCAAGCTATGACTATGACTCTGATAAGCCAGAGCCCTGCAGGGCCTTGAATCGATGTGCACCAACAGAGCACCTTATGGAAAGATAGTCTTTCAGTCTCAACATGCCCATGCAAGTAGGGTTCATGTAGTAGAGCTTGGGAAGGGGTTGGGCTTGCGAGGCGTTCACCGAACGCCGTGCTCGGGAGATCAGCCAGTGGTTGAGCCGGGGGCCTTGACGGCGAAAGTTGACATGATTCGGGTTCTTGATCGCGAGGTCGAACGGCTTTGAAATGAAAGGCATCCATCATGGTGGTGGTGGTGGTGGTGGTGGTGGTGGTAGTGGTGGTGGTGGTGGTGCAGTGATGAATGCTACTGCTAACAGTTCAATCACAATTTCCATCAATACCAGCAATGCAAGAAGGATTGTTATTAGTGCTGCATCAATAGCAGTCGTGGCAGGGATGGGACCTCGCTGGTGATAAGCCTTAAATCCTCCTCAGACACCTCGCCCGGATGGCCCAAGTTGTAACAGCTGAAATCCTGAACCCTCAAACCTAAACCCCAAGGCTTAAAATTCTAAATCTGAAGCCACCCTCGATCCTGAGCCCCGAAGAATTTCGGCTCCTGGGCTAAGATATTGCAGCGATTTTCAGCAGGAGTCCGGTAAATTCCAAGTTGCAGGATGTTGCAGGTTAAAGCACCGGTCTCATGTCTCGGAGATCAAAAGTGGCCGGAGCGTGATGGGCACAGGCAACCACTTCCGTGAAGGCCCAAGTACGTATGAATCATATACTCTTGCCTACACAACTACTGTACTGATAATAGAAAGCACTCGCGCCCCTGAGAATGTTTGAAAGTGTTTGCGCTGGCCGTCTTAGCAAACCGGCCGAGGTAACAACCCCCAGGTCAAGCAGTGGGTGCGGCGCTCAAGTTTTGAACCAGAGGGATTCAGGGCTGAGGTCTCGATTGTCGTGTCCTGAATCAGCTTTGTGGGAGGCTGTTGCTTTGGGCGTGTCTTTGACTCTGCCGTTCGAGTCTCTCCATGAGAAGTCTGCATCTCTGACCTTACCTTCACATCTTCAAGTCGCGTTCTAGTGGTGAGTCCACGCCCTGCGCTTAAACGCGCCGGGGTGGCTTTCTGCGGTGAACAGCGCGGTGACATGTCCGACAAGCTCCTGTGTGCTCGGGAACAGGTCCACCATTCTCCTTTAATCCATGAACAACGGTTTCATTTTCGGCCAGAAGACAGAGTCCAGATTTGTCTCTGCTGCTGCACTGCTGCTTGACGAAGATGGCTTGAGGTCGTCATCGACGACATCAACATGGCCGACGCAGATCTGGAGAGGGCTACTACTTTCTGCAGCTGCGGCTGCTGTTGCTCCACTGTAGTCATTACGATTCTTGCGGCTGCTGTTGCCACTGCAAATGCTACTGCTGCTTCCTCCTCTTTCTGTTTCCGCCGCCTCTACCACTACAAGAGCTATTGCTGCTTTACTACAACGGCATCTGGATCTTCAGAAGACCCCTTGTGCAGGCCACAGTAGGTGAAATGTGGAAGGAAATGTGTTAGGTTCTCATCCTCTGCATATCTGCAGCTGTTCCATCTGATCTCCCAACCCTCAGTTTTGCAAGGTGAACTCCCATGTGAACATGTGTGAATTCCACTTCCCAAGCTTGCAACCCCGCCCGATGCTTGGATGCCAGGACAGGAAGCCCGGAACCCTTCTCATGGCTCCCCGCATTGTGCCGCAGCCAGAAGCTTTCAACCTCACGAGCTTAGGGCTTGGGCTTTATAGTTACATTTAGAAAGGCGTCGGGTCGGATGTGTCGATGCTGTGAAGGGCTTTGAGACACGGGTCTCTAGGCCCTAGGCCTTCCTTCTACAGCCAGATCGCTGGGCGATTCCTGTTGCAGACAGGTGCAGACACATCGGAAGATCGGGTCGCACTCTAAGCACAGCGTGCCGCCGGAGTGTTTTTTTTGGGTTTGGGCCGCTGAACTTGCGGTTCTTCAAACGAAGCTTCATTGGAGTAGCCACCGAAATCTGAAGGCCACAAAGCGCACTCCGAGCCTGAGGCTAACTATGGACCAAGCAAAGGCGGCGGTGCGGCTGCTTCGGGGTGAGAAGTTGCCCGTGCCTCGATTTTTTGGGCGTCTCCTTGGGATGTAATATCGTATTACGTAGGGGAGGCATTCTTACGGCACGACTGAGTTCCATGGTGACGACTGTCGTTTCTGCGACGCCGCGGAAAACTCTGTTGCCTTCAGCTCATAAAGTGGTGGATCGGGCTTTGCGGATTGTGAGTAAGCCGTACATTTGAAGCCCAAGCGCCCTATACCCTGAATCCTACACCCTGCCTTCCTGCATCTGCCGACGCCTGAACACGAAGCCAAGAGATGCCAAGAGCCAACAGCAAGACCTTGCACGACAAATTTGCACACGTGTGTCTGTGTGTGTGTGCGCTTGCTCGCCTACTTTGGCGGCGATGATGATCGTCATGATGGTGATCCGAGATCAACTGCCCTTTCATGATTAACGCTTCTTGTTAATAGAACCGTGGGTCTAGTTGTGCACGTTTACAAACCCAGACAAAGGAATTACATAGAAGGCCAAACATCTTGCGGCTGTGTAGCGGTGGTGGTGGTGGTGGTGGTGGTGGTGGTGGTAGTAGTAGTAGTAGTAGTAGTAGTAGTACAGTAGTAGTTGATGATGGTGATGATGATGTTGTTGATGATGGTGATAAGAATGATGTGGTCGCCGTCAATGTCATTCGTACACTTCTTTCGGCATTGCAGTGGTGACTTTTATTGCATCGTTGTCTTTGCGACTGTATCGTGACAAGCTGCTTCAAGTACCAAAAACCAGCAAGTCTGCAACAACTACCACCACCTCCTTATTCTTCTGTTTTCAGATGTTTTCATTATGATCAGCTGTCCTATCGACAGCAACCTTACGGCGAAAGTGTGGAAACGTTGCCTGGGCCGAGGCCACCGCAAGTTCTGCCGGTGCAACCGCAGGTCGAGCTCATCGGCTGAGCCAGGCAGGCGGGGAGTCTTTCTGTCGTGAAGGAGTGCCTGTAAACCAACAGTTATCACTTGGGTAGTTGTCAACATTATGGTCCCTTTTGGGGTACCCTAAATAATAGGTGACGTATTATAATAAGGACCTAAAAAGGGACCATGATTTTGACAATCACCCACTTTCACCGGTGTCAGGACAGTCATCATTGCTGTCATTATCGCGGCAGTTTGAGTCTCGATCCTGAAGAGCCCATAAGCCCATAGACCTGCCGCCTCGCAAGACATGGCTACCCGACAGCGTGATGTCATCCAACTCGTCTCCTCCGAGTGCAACTCCTTCGCCGAGCGCTTCTTCTCGGAGCATCGCCGCTTCTTCGAAGACCTTGCCAGTGGTGAGGCCGGAGCTGGAGAGCAGAAGGCTGAATGGTATGAGATCTACAAGAGGTTCGAGGCAGAGTCAGAGTTGACCATGCAGAATGCTTTAATGCTTTGGGGTGCTGTGCAAGCCAAAACCTTTGAGCGAGAGTTCATCGAGGCGGCGATGCAGTCTGATGCTCTCAATGACTACTTGTCCCTGACAGACTACCCCATGTTCATCAAGCGCATGTGGCGTGAGGTTCAAGCCAAGCGCGAAAGAGATGCTAAGATGGGCGAGGACATGGTGGCCTCACCGAAGTATCGAAAGCCTTCCAAACGGCCGATTACACCCATGGAGGACACCGTCGTTAAGGACCGCCTGTCTCAACTGGACCAACGCCTTCTGGAGATTGAGCACGAGCGCAATGCCCTGCTCCTGGAGCGCCGCCACTTGGTTGGCCGCGATGTTGAGCCGGACACGAGCGAGAGCCTCAAGCGCGAGATCAACCTTCAGCGGTATCGGGAGGAAGTTGGCTTGGACTAATGTCCTCTGAGAAGTCAGCGTTTGCATTGAAAGGGCTTTGTTTCAAGGTGCAAGAGACCTTAGGCAGTTGAGCAGTGGTATAGGAGAAGGTGCTCAAGTCAAGTCTTTGCCCCAGCAAGTCGGTGAAGCGGCTGTATGCTTCAGAGTAAGCTGGCACAGCTGCCACAAGGAATGATAGGGATCGTCAATTTGTACAGCCCTTTCCTTGAACCAGTCTTCGACCTGCATAATTCGTGCAGTATTTCATTTTGAGTGGCTTGAAGGTTTCGTTTGTCCAAGACTTCACATGCCAACCGTTCACGCAAGGCTTTGCAAATAAACAGTTGTTTTGAGGTCGCTTGTTGTACCTTGTGTTTTTCCATGATGCTGAAGGCCTTGAACCTGATAGGCCAATAGCCCGAGCAAAGCCTGTTGTGCTGTTTTCTTTGAAACCTTTGCTGTGAACCCGATCTTGAATCACAGCTACGCTTCAATGCTTGTGACATATCGCGGCAAAGTAAAAGTGGGCGCACTTGTCTGCAGCGTGTTGATGTGCATGGCCAGCGGAAATTACTGATATCCGTTTGACTAGATGGACCGATTGCTGTGCGACTTCGGCTATTGCAGTTTGATGAACTGTTTAACTGTAGAAACAAACATATTCCACACAAGGTGTTGAAGAGGTAGTGAAAGCAGCTGCATTCAGCCAAGCTTGGTGATTTGCCTTTCGCAGGGCGGATAGGGGGGGTGCTTGCAACGAGCCGCAAACTGTAAAATTTGACGTGGCTGTTACTTGGTACTCGTAGAGACAGCCATGTCGTACCTGTTGCATGGCAGATGCGGTGATCATGGTGATAGTGATAGTGCCCAAAACAGACTGCGAAGATGATGTGCGGAGACAGCCATCTATTCTAGATCAAGTAGATCGAGAATGGACCGTCGCAGCAAAAGCGCTTATGGATGGAAGCATACAGGCTTTCGCCAATGTCCACTTAGCTTGAGAACTTGTCTATTGGCAGCTGGCCTTGTTCATCTTCGCACACGCTTGCATGCTTTTGTGGCCATGGTCTCAGTAGAAATCCTGAGAGAGCTGGCATACATCCACAGCTGCAGCTCTGGTACTACTGTATGAGAACTCAGGGTCACGGGCTCTCCGAGAGCCACGGAGCGGATTTCGACAGCGTCCTCGGCAGGATGCAACTTTGCCACAGAATTCGTTTCTACATCCCGTTGAGCACCCCAAGCAGTGGATCTGAAATTCCTGATGGCCCTTGTAAGAAGCGGAGTTCGGAGCAAGTGCTGCTGTAGTGACACAAGACTCCAAAGTCAGGGAGGGTGTCTTTGTGGTAGTCACGCCAGCAGTATTTTGCGGCTTGATGGCAGGCTACTGAATTATTGCTGAGTCATATCTGTACTCAGCTGCTTCACTCTCTAAACATTGAGCATGAGCTCGCCCAACCTCTGGATTGCTAGCTCCAGTCATGCGGTAGGCTATGTAGGCGTACATGTGCCAAAGAATCCGAAACAATTCTCGGAGAAATTGAACCTGTGCTACACAAGTCCAAGGCCTGTCAAACCATGTCAAACCCAACCTACGTCGGCACAGCATTGTGCCCCATGAATGTCCTGTGATCCCTGCACCCTTTGCTCGACACTCTACTAAGAGTACCGGGCACCATATTATAGGAGCCTAGCTAAATTGGATTGCCTGCATGACATGAGGCCTGGTAGGAACTGCGCCACCTGGGTGCTACCTGCAAGCGCTGCTTGTCAGAAATGCCTCCTCAGTACTGAGACTCTCTGAGACTCTCTGAGGCTCTGCAACCCTAAACCCTAAACCCCTAAACCCTAAGCCCTAAACCCTAAACCCAAAAAGGGAGTGTTTGCCTCGACTCCGCAAACTGCAGAGGTGCCGACAGGCGCTGCGCAAAGTTGCCTAGACTTGAAGACTTCACTCTGAGCACAACTTCGAGTGTTATTTTGGGGCACTATTTCGGACTGGTCGGAGTCAATGAGGCGAAAGAACTCCAGTCCAACCCAGAGACCGGTTGCGTCGGTGTTCAAGAAAACTCCCCTGGATTGAGGTTGGTGCTTGGAACAACTCAATTCTTGTCCATGGACTCTGGTTGGTTCGAGTTTGTCCTCACCGAACCCTGTACTGAGCCTGTGCTTAGTTCTCAAACAGCGCCAATGCATAGAGAGACCACTGCACCAAGGACCAGATATTGCCATGCTTCCTGGTGGATGAAGTCGCTTTACCTGCGGCAGTCGCGAAGCTCCGTCAGGTCCGGAATAATTGCCTTTATCGATTATCGAGTGATAAGCTAGAATGCACATGGTAAGGATGAGGATGAGAGTGACGAAGACAATGATGGTGCTGATGACGACTGCAGTGGGATTGCGGCAGAGACCGCCCTGATATTCTTCTTCTATCCCGTGGTTCAGCCTGATCGACATGGGACAGCAAAACCAGCATAGGACTTTTGGCCGTAGTGTGGATCTGGGCCAGAATTTGGGCAGTTGATGCAGCTTTTCTGGGGAGTTGCTGTGGTAACCGTAGTAGCCTGGTAGCTTGAACTTCCACCCCTCCTGGCCCCCCGAGCGAAGAGATGCCTGGACATCACAACACTGAAAGGCAGTGGCCCTGATCCGCGAACCCTGGCCGACCAAGCCGACATCTCCTCCAAGGGAAGCACCAGAAGAGGACCAGCACCCTGCCCAATTGTGTCAGTGGTGGTGGTGTGCGCTGTGAAGGCTTTCTGCTTCCCCACCGTATGCTGCAAGAGATGCTGTACTCCGTCATGTACAACGTACACGCTTGAATGAAGGGCATCTTCTTATCTCAGCACTGAATGTCCATCTATCCATCCACCAATCTACCGGTATGTACATGTATACGAAACGTACGTGGATCCTGGTGTCTCGGCTTACAAATGCTGCTGGCAGGAGCCCCGGGAGGATGCCCCTGCCGAAACACAGCCAACTCGGGGCGATGAGGATGAAACTTCAGTGACCAGCTAGCAGGGTTAAGCGTGTGGATTTCTAGCTTCCGGTCTCGGGCGTCGGGCTTCCGGCTTAGATAATCTTGTTGTTGACAACTCGCGCTGTTTTCTAGGATGGCATAGCTGTCAGAACGGAGTGCTGCCAGCACCGAGCCACCCGTCCATCTGGCCCGACATCATCACGAGGGTCGCACTCAGCGTGATCTTCCGCCCCAACTTTGTCCTTCGGTGGTGGTTGCGAAATCGGCGAGGTTGGCTCAGGTCTCTTCTGTTCCATCATCCATCAGATCCATCCAACTGTCATCACTCAGCATGATGTTATCCATCCCTGGGGTCTATCCCGAGTCGCTGGCTTGGTTGGCTCAATGGCAATTTCAATCCAACCACCTTCGATGGCGACTTGAAACGCAGCAACGCCAGCCTGAGGACTGCAGGCTTCGATAGATCGAATGGTTGGTACGCTGCACTGAGAACCGTCTATGAGAAGAAAGAGAGTCGGGAGGAGCCAATGAGTTCCGAAACCCAGGCGATGCACACGAAGTTCGATAACATGAACATATTGACCGTCGCCTCGGCACTAGGTAGAACGGGCTTCCAAAATCAGGAGAACGAAACGACACGAAACCTTTCCGGATTTCGGTATGACGAACACACTTGCTGGACCCCGAAGCCGGCAGTTCTTATGGAAGGAGGAGCTCCTCCAAGCGCCACGCTGGCGGCGAGGCGAACGGCAGACAAGTTCGCTGGAGCCTGACAGTCTGGACCTTAGTGGCAACGTCCCATGTGTTTCGAGGATGCTCCTTCCAAATATTTGTCATATCCGCTCTCGTGCACTGCGTCCCCGCTTCAGGCGGCGATGCCCCTCTGAGGCCATCTGGAACAGAGGCCATCTGCATGCGAAAGTGGTTGAAAGCAGCGGAATCGAGCGCGCGTCGAAGGATGAATATCCGATATGCTCTTTTTGAGCCTCGACCTGTACAGCACACATCTGGTAACATGTATATTTCTATGTTTGTATACATGTTGCCTCATTCATTTGCTCCCGTGTTGAGCCACGGACTTGAAACAGCGTGGCCCTGCTCCAGAAGGCGGAAGTCCCTACAGCCCTACCCTACGGCGGTGACCTCCAGGCAGCTATGAGGGCTCAGGACAGGAGTGGGAGCAGATGAAACCTTTCAGATAGACGAGTTGAGTGTGTTGAATATCGAAAGGTGACATGGATTCCCGGCTTAATGTGGAAGTTGTGTGAAGCTCTGGTATTTCTGAGCTGACCTATTGGGCAATGTTGGCAGGAAGTTTCCGTCTTGATTCCATGCTGAGCTTGCTCATAAGAAGATTGAGTACTCAGGCCCGGTAGTGGCCGTTACTTATTATGCTTTGGGGAGCGTCCTTCCGACTGTTCTCCGACCTGCCTGAATTCGTGCTTGCAGTCGCCCCAAAGCGATTTGCAATCTAGATGCAGCTCCCAAAGTGTGGAAAACAGCGGCCCCAAAGAGGACAGAGCCGCCATCAAGCTCCTGATGACGCTGCGGGATCAAAGTCAGGCCCAGTGGCTTGTCAGTGGATGTGTCCAAGACTCGTGGTTAAGGCCAGGCTAGCAGTTTGATTTGTCATCCTTTGCACTCATTGCCGCAACCAGGCTCCAAAAAGTGCTGCGCGACGCACCCGGTGGGGAGCCTTGGCTGGCAACCGGCCGAGGCTTTGTACCCGCACAGGCGAAAGTTGAATGTTTCTCTACTATATGCATGGGGGGGGGAAAGCCAATTAAGCCAAGTGCCGGCTGCACCTGAGGATTCTGTTCCGTGGGCTCATCTGCTCCCGACAGATCCGTCAGCGTACAAATTCTGAGCCCGGTACCATCCTTGCTTGCAGCATGGTGCTGTTTCATAGTAGACTATAGGTCCTATAGGTAGGGTCGAAGGATTTCTGGTTAGGTCTAAGGAATCTTCTTCTCCTTCAACCATCATAATCAAATTTTGCCCAAGCAATGAACGGTCGACATCACCAACCAGAGAAACTGCAACTAGCATATTCACAGTAGCAATATATCGAGGAAGAACAGACAACATCATGTCGGATCCTTTCCGAAACGAACTTTGGTTAACTGACAAGACAGTAACACCGAACACCACCGAACCCCGCGCAAACAAAAAAAATTGGGCAGGATAGTGCTGCGTTTGCCAGCCCTGAGGCCGCTGAAGTGAACAGCACTGCTACTCGACTCTACAACTCTTCCGATGAAACTATTGCTGTCAATGCCATTAACTATATATGACTACTGCAACGGACACTTTACCGTTGTGCTTGTCCTTGCCGACTGCTTCTCTTCGCTGACTTAGGACAGAAGAAGGAGGAAAAGGAGGAGACCCGGAGACCGAGCGACTCGAGGCCGGAGAGAAACTGCTACTTTGGTCGTCGTCCTTGTCGTAATAGTACCAGCAGCAGCAGCAGCGGCAGGAGTAGTAGTAGTAGTACTAGTAGTAGTAGTAATAGTAGCAGTAGCAGCAGCAGCTGCTGCTTCGCTTCACAGGCAGCTTGGCGGAGCCCTTATCCACAGAGCAGGAGATCTGCCGCTCGGCTCAGTCGGCTTAGCGCTCTGACTAGAATTGAGGGTTCACGTGGTCCGTCCACACCAGAGTTGTTCTTTACTTCTGAATGTATGCTGGTGCTTGCCCTGCCGAAGCTTTATTAATATGCACACCCAACACAGACCCTCCTTTGTTGGGTGCACAAGCCAAGCTTGCATCTAACAAAGGCTTCAGGCAAAGGAGGACTTCATCGTGCACCAGTGCAACTGCCCCTTGGATGGACAAAACGTCGAGCCAGGACCTTGAGCAGTCGAAGCAAGCTCAATGCACAGTTCGATTCCGACTCCATGCTGGACAATGTTTCTGCCGCAGACCACTTGCTCCATATTTCCTGCCTGACTGAGGCGTGTACTCGGGAAGTGCACAGGGAGTGGCAGAAGCCGTTTTCAAAGCTCATCCCGACGCTGACGTTTACAGATGCTTGGGCTGAAGATATCAGTTTCTCGCAAGCTTTGGCTTCAATGTACAATAGAGGCCCAAAAGTTGGAAACCCAATAGCCTCAATCCTTAAGAGCAATGTATAGGGAATCCCAGCACTCATTGTCCTTAATCCGGTTTCCAGCTTTTTGAGGTGTACTTTAGTGCTCTGGTCATGTCCCAGGGAACTGCATGTCATGCACTTCGATCCCTGCCGACGCATGTTGGCTCAAAGCAGCAGCTCGCCAGGGAGCTGCCAGATTAACATGGAGATAATCAGTTCATGTCCTGTGCTCAAGCCCCTAAGCCCCTGGGCTTCAAGAATTGATTACTGCCCCGGCCCTTTTTGACGTAGCTAGAAAACCTCAGTCCCAGCTCCATGAGTCGGTGCAGCCAGAGCCCGAGAAAAGCAGCCTCGACTCCGAAGCTCTGAGCCGTCTTTCTCATGTCCACTTCTCTTCCCGGCTCTTCCCAGGGCTCCAGGCCAACAAGTCCATGTCTTGCGTTCAGGAGTGTTGGCTGATATACTAGTACATGCTGACACCCGACTGAATGGCTCACATCGACTCCGCAATCTCAACAGTATTCGGTCATCATCATCACCACCTGCTCATAAAATGAGAAAGCAGCAATCTGTTTCATACTCCTAGCTGAAGAAGCCTGTAGACATGAATGCTTATCGTCATCGTGGAAGGTGCCTGCAGCCCACTTCGTCTCTGATGACGGAGCCCTTCCCTGCTCCTCGCATGCAATGGCAAGAGTTACCTCTTGCGCAACCCAGCAGCTACAAGCCTACAGACAGAAGCAGTTTGCGGTTCCCGGGTGGCCGAACCTTCCAGAGGAATCAGGAAGTTTCTTCAGCGAGGTCAGGCACGGTGATCGTCGATGTTTATTTGCGGGTCTTTGTGCTTTGACAGGGGAGCTCTGCGGCCTATGATATGTCGTGTACTTCCGCTCAGTCTCGTTGTTTCCGTCGGTGCTCCTCAAGTCGAATTAGATGGGCCGGTACTCTGCACCGAACGCCGATAACCATGATTACACTGAACATTTGTTTCATGCAGTCTTGCCCCAGGATGTGCCAGTGCCAGATGCTTCTGCGAAGACCGGCATTCTGCCGCGGCCCAGTTCCAAAAGCAGGCTTTCAGCTTTCAGAGATTTCTAGCTACCAACCACGCAACAGTCAGGCGACCAATGTGTTGAGGTACCGCCGTTGGTATCTGGAGCTTCAAGCCTGAATGTGTGGTGGTACCTTTAGAGCAGAATGTCGGCCCCGTGCCACAACCAAGCCAGGCTATGCACTTTGAAGGCCCTCCAGGCTTTCTGTTTTCTTGGAGCCGACCACAGCAACAGTAGAGCACCGATCCGGGGCAAACAGAAACTACCCTGGTTTCCGCCCCGGACGAGACCCCAATCCATCTGCCCCGAAACCGAGGAACCGACCACTCTCCACTGCACAGCTTCAAAGATACATCCATGAGGTGGGGCTTTGATAGACAACTTGCCGCTGATTCGTGCTTTCATTATGAGCCATCGCATCTTCTGCTGATACTAGGATACTGTGGCTGGCTGCGAGGTTCGTGCTATCATGGGTAGTGGCATTGTTACTCCTATTGCCAGCTCAGCTGCCCTGACTCCTAACTTCCAAAGCTTAGCGCGTGGACTATCCTAGAAGCAGCGGCAACTCTTCAAGAAGCTTGGGGCATGGCCGTCTGTAGGCGAAACCGCAGTCAATGCTAGTCACGAAGTGGGACGTTCGGGATGCATCACTGATGCAGAACCACAGAGAGAGAAAAGAGAAAGAGAGAGGGTCAGCTCGTTTTACCTTCTTCGTTGTCACATCTGCAGAAGGAGAACCGATAGGCCGCTAACCGAGACTAGGACAGAAATGCGAGTTTCTAATCACACTTAGATTTAACCGGGCGAGGGCAAAGCAGCAGTGCTGAGAAGGGGAGGGCGTGTCCGCGACACTCGGACACACCGGGTGGAGAATGATACCGGCATACCACACTGACATCCCACTCGGAGTGTGCTCAGGCTGCATATCATCGGGGAGAGGAGGCGGGCGTCGGTTATTCCTTAACTGCCATTTGGAAGAGCATCAGTTTGTTGCCGAAGGTATCGTGCGATTTGATGTTCTTGCATCAGCGGTAGCATTCCGTCCTATTCCGTCCACCAGGGATTACAACAAAGGGTCGAGCCTTCCATGCTCGTGTCAACCACTAACCCCGCTTCCTAAGGTGCTTGGTCGTTCGAAAGGTTTCACTCCGTTGCCCAGCCGGAAAGTATACTTCTACTACACCTTAAGCACCAGGTGAGCGAGAATGTCACTTTCACCCTAGCATTGTTACGCCTCTAACCCCCGTGGTCAGGGCTTGTATACGTTTTTTCGCAACAACGGCAAGCGGCGAACAACTGATGTCGTCGGTCGCATGGGGTTCCTGCAGCAACCTTCAGGTTCGAGACAAGCCTGATTTCCGAGCAAACGTAAGGGTTCGGAGTCCCACGCCTACCAAGGGGATCAGAATCGGGGCTTGTGCTTGTGTTCTGTTACGAAGGGAAGCACGGACAGGGTGTGTTCATTCCCTAGACCTACAGAGTGACTCAGCTCACCATCATGACTAGCCTTCTGTTGCCCCTCTCCTCTGGCAGTTCTTCGCTTTGGGCACGAACACGGCCAGCATCAGCAAGACTCAGCAAGACATCTTCGCAGCCATACATCCAGCAGTTGGCCGCAACAAGCCAGACTTGTGCAGACCTCATCAGCTTTTTCGACCTTCGTCAATCTTCGAAGGATCCTCTTCCGCCCCTGCAACCGCCCCTGCAGCAGCCCAGCCTGGCCCATGCTCAGGCACGCTTGGGGGGGGGGGGGGGGGGGGTGAAGGGTGTGGGTGGGGGAACGCTTTTGACCCATCTTGACTTCAGTCCATAGATTCCTAGAAGCAGAGGTATGGAAACGCGGCCAACTCGCTAGCAGCTTCCTGAGCCCAGCCAGGCTGAGGACGTGCTCTCTGAGGAGGATGTCCTGCGTATGCTGGCAGCGGCTCGGTGCTACTGCACTGTGCAGACTAGGTGCAGGGTCATCTTGGAGCTTCAGGGTAGTGAGCAAACAAGCTCTCGTGTCGGTCTAGGGCGGCTCAAGGACCGCTGCTCAGATCGGAGTCGAAGCTGGCAACACCTTCGGAGAAGCGATGAAGAACAGAGTGCTGATGCCTGAGGAAATGCGCAGAGTTCCGCCGGCGCTGCGGTTGGTCAAGGAGGGAAATGGATAAGACTGAAAGGTATCGCCGGAGGGCTCTGCATGCATGTTCGGTTGATGATAGGCAGAAGAGGATTAGAACTTCAAGCTGTAGCAGGCCATAAAGCTTCCGTAGAAAGATGCTCAGCACCAAGCCGAAAGCTTGTCCAAGTCCAGGTTCTGACAGAGATGTCACAAGCAGAGCCAGTGACCAACAAGTGGGTACTGCATGTTAGGAGGCTAGCGAAGCATTGCATACTTGGCATGTTCAGCAGCACACTAATTTGGATAGTCGACTTTATCACACAAGGTTCTTTTGAGCCATGCAGATCTCGTCGCTTGGTGTGCGGCACCATAATTCAAACATTGGCAAAGGAATTTTGTGCGCAGGATGCCCTGGTCAATTACCAGAGATCTAGCATCTCGGGAGCACTGTGGGGTGAGGTTGAGAGGGAGAAGGTTTAGGGGCTTGGTGATTCTAGGTGGACCGGACATCGGGATATTAATTTAGGAATATAGGTCTTCAGTGCGAGCAAGCATCTCTGAGCGTCGAAATTCGTCCTTCCGTGTGGAGTTGCCGGAAAAATTGAACGCGCATGTTGCATGACCCCCAGCTTAGCTTCAAGAAACGCAGGAATGCATCACCCCGATACAGCAGCTTGTGGTTTCCTTTTACATCATCCTATCCAATGCGAGACCTTATGTTCTGTAGCTTCTTAGACCGATAGCCTATGGAGAGCCGGGGTTCTCGGCTGAAGGCAAGCACAACGCCAAGGGCCAGGAGCGAGAGCGGCTGAGTCGCGCCCGCAAGTGCTTGTACCCGACGCCAGAGCTCACGCAGGCCTGGTCTGAATGCTAGGGGCTTCTGTTTTGCAAGGCCCAAAAGATCTCGACGCGACCACATCGTGAAGTCTGCACCTGGCTAATCTAGTCTAGTCAGCTGTGCAAGAATCACCAGACTTCGTTTCTTGTCTGCTTAGCCTCTTCATTGCAAGTTCTGCTTGCTTGAGACCTGTCGTGTCAGGCGGCACCCCTGCCCAGCAAGGCCTTGTCGGGGCTTTGGGATACGATTCGGGGTTTTGGCAGGAGCATGGCGCGCAGATCTTCTGCAGAATTGTGGAATGAATTGGGGAGCATTGAACGTTCTTTCAGATCTGTCAAAGTTGTCGTTGTCGACATGAATACCATCACACTTTACACCGGGCCAGCAGTGTGCGTTCGTCATGAATACGTGTTGCTCGGGGCCTTTGCTGTCACGATTGCTGGGTGTGTAATCACGACGGCTCTCAGGGGGTACAGAAGCCTGCTGCGAAAATGGCGGCAAGTTTTCAGACTGCTACTCTTTGGAGTTGTATACTTAACCGGATCGGCAGAGGTGACTGTTCAGATATTTCTGCGGTTCGGTGATGCTACAAACCTGTTGCGCGGCCCCTTCTTCCTTCGACCCGATGAAGAAGGTGTCCCTAAGAAGCACAGCTGCTGAGTATTGCTGCGCTTCATCCCGACATCATGAAAGGGAGAATATTTTGCTGTCCAGATACTAGCTAGTTGCATTGCGCGGTGCTGCTGCACACCTGTCGTCCTACTTCGGCCAGATGAATGGTCCCAAGGATGTGTCATGCTTGTTTGCGTGTCCACTGCGAAACAAGGCTCATGTCTTGCCCTTAATTATTCGTCAGTCGGGTGTTTGGATAACCCCTTTAGAAACAAGGATCCGCCAACACGGGCGACATCTTCCCGCTCCACGTCGGCAGGGTCCTTCGGCACCCGATCTGTGCTAACCAGTCGAGGGATACCGACAAGTGAACTTTTGTGCGGGCAGAGGTTAGTCTTGTCACTTCGACTGCGGACGGCGTCGCAATGTGGAGGAGTTTTGACCGCGTCGTTTTGTAGCGGTCCCAGGTGATCTCCATGGTGGCTAGCGGCTAACCATGTAGGCTGTTTCGACGCAAGAGCGATTGTGTTGTTAGGGCGAACACAGAACGTCAACATGGTGAGTTAGCATGAATGGCAGCTCACTTGCTACGCTCTCGAATCACTCTAGCATCTCTAGCCCACATGAACAGGCTTGAAGCCTGTAAAGCATTGCTTGAATACTTGAGGATCAGTCAAAGAGCACTAAGGCCTTCGACGGCTACGCCGCGGCTTCCAAGCTCTCCTTGGTGGACTGGAAGCCGAAGCTCGGCCAACAGAGGAAGAAAGATCTTCATGCGTCCTTCAACAAGGATTTCAGTTCTACATTATGGCTTCAGAACCTGGCTTCATGCTAGCTGCGAGCACCCTCTTTGCTTCCGTTTCCGCTGCAAATCAGACCTAAGGCTTGCAGGGCAGAGCGCATTTCTACAACCTGTTGCCATGATTTGGTGTTTGCATAGCAAAGCATAGCAACCTCCTAACACTCTCGTACCACACGATGCCTGCCTGCTTTTAAGGCTCAGCATTCATAGTCTGGTTCATAGTCCAACCTGCTTCGCACCCCAACCATCGGTGGGCTCGGGCAAGGCCCCGCAACAACGGGACATCCCGCGCACTCGGTTTGGCCGCAGGCTCGCCGTCTGCTTTCGATGCACCAGAACCAGCTTTCCCAGTTAGCGTCAGATGCCTTGCAGCCAGGCTCCACACAACCGCCCACGCACATCGCCAAACACGTCAACACCAGTCCTGACCTCAATTTTCCGGGCTTGACTGTTAGCTATGATATGTTTGTACCGATGCAGCTTTCGTTTTGTGTGCAGTCCCGAGACTGTCAGCTTCACTCAGGCCATTGCAAAGCCGAGGATGGTGGATCTAGGCCCAGACACCAACCCGTGAGAATTCATTCAGGGCTCTTCATCCGGGTTTTTGAGCTGAGTATGCCCGGAGATTAAACATCCAACTGCCAAGCGCTGAGCGTCAGCTGGGATAAATCTGTGTATATACGCAACTTTGTTAGAGGGGTTCGGCTGAGGCCTTGTAACTAGTTGGCGCTTGCGGCCTCGACAGAAGGGATCGCTGGTTCAAGGACTGCTACAATTCCAGTGTAATCATTGAGTACATCGCATGCCCCTGATTTATGTAAGAACTCTCCAGTCTATACTTTCGTCACTGAGCCGACTGCGCCTCCAAACCGCATCATTCGCCCTACAACCCCCAAGTCTTTGCCAGGCAGCCCGACGTCTGGACCCAGCCCGACGCCTGGACCTCAGATCATGAACAGATTCTGCTTCTTTTGCAAAGAAATCGGCTTGGGACAGCTTTGCAGAGTGAGCTCAGAAGTCGCAAGATCGCTGATGAGGTCCTTGCCGATTCCTGGGAGGCGGACCGCCCTTTGTGTTTTTCGGCCAGGGAATACTGTGCGACGTCAGACTGATTCAAGGATAGCCCAAAACTACAAACTGCGTTACCAAAATCCTAGGAAGCTCTCAAAGCCCCACCGGATAGGCGGGCATTCGGCAGCATGCTCTCTGTGAGCCTGGGCTGCTATAATTGGTCAGTACAGTTGACTGAACAGATTTCCCATACCTCGACGACAATGGTGACGACGACGACGCGGACGATTTCTGCAGCGCTCTTGCCCCAGCTTTTATATCATCACTTGTCTGATTGCTGTATCCATTACGGGTACTGCTCCTGGTCTTTACTTTCACAACATCATCGTTACGTGTAACTGTTTGTCACGACGCCTGCTTTGATATGACACCATGGTTACCATAATCAGTCGTCACTCTGCTGTCCGTATCTGTCCGTCATCGACGTCGTCGAAGCGGACGCTGCGATCTGACGTCCACTACAGAAATGGCAATGACCAAAATCAAAAGGCTCATGAAGGGGCTTCGTGCTGGTCGTGGTCATGGTCGTAATCGCCGTCGTCGTCACTTCGTTGGTACACTTGTTGCTGCAGTCGCAGCAGTTGTTGATTTTTGCGTTTGATGCCTCCTATTGTTACTACTACGAACAACTACCCCAATACAAGTCGTTGTACCACAGTGCAGGAAAGGTTGCAAGCAGCAAGGGTAAAGCCCAATGCCTATCTCGAAGCTAATGGCCCAGGACGTCGCAGCGGTCGTCCATGGAGTCCCTGATGGATGTACTTCACACACATAGTCGGAGCCCGAGCCAACTTGCAGGGACGCACGGAGGATACATCGCACACAGCCCTGGTGACATACGTGGTTGCTGGTAGCATATTGAGGTGTGAAATTGCGACACCCAGGACATCCTAGGGTTTATATCGTATGCGAGGCCCTTGGATCTTGTAGAAAACGGAACTCACAACACTTCTTTTGCTCTGCAGCAAGCTTCATGCTTCGTGTTGATTAGCTGGCCTTGGCTTGATCATTGCTGCACTCGCAAGGCCGAGCTTGAACATTCAAATCTGACTGCTGATCGGAGGTGTGGTGAAAAAGAACGCCTCAAGAAAGGTTGCTTCCAGTACCTTGCCTGCACAATGCCATATGATGGCTTTATCTTGCCCAGACACTCCGAGCATGCACACTGATTGGTTGCGGCTAGGACAAACAAAGGCGTGTTCGGGTACATCGTGTTGCACCAAGTGAGAAGACGCGCTGTCACGTCATGACGAGGAAATCCATTGGAGATAGCTGCAACTAGTAGCAGCACAACCTGCATTGAAAGTGTCTCCAGACCGATCAAGACTAATCAAGACCATCAAAGACAGTAGCCGCAACGCCGCACATGGCACAGGGTTGGCTATGCTGGCAGGAAGGCTGCACCACAAGGCCGGGCTCACGAGCGCTTTTTTTGAGGTTTACACGACGATAAGGGGTTTCTAGCTCGATTGATGCTGTTCACACTCCCTCACACGAAGTACGTCAATGTGCAAGGCACAGCAGACTATCTTCACAGGTCAGGCGGGAGAAAACTAGAGGAACCTTTAAACTTCTGCATATGTGATGCTGATTCGGCGCATTTAACGAGTTGGTCGTGGTCACCCGCTTGGGATTCCAGGGAGGGTGCTTGGAGATGTGCTCAAGGATATCACCGTCCCTGCAGCAAGGTGAGGTTGTGCGGAAGTGTCGGAGCCGGAACAGGAAAGATGACAGCAGCAGACATAGATTGACAGCAACAGTGCTCATGCAGGGTGGCATTCGGTGAAACTCTGGATGGTGAAGCTCATGTGGTTTATTGCTCATCAAGCATCTGCAGCGCATCACAGCCCCAGCTGCATGGCCGCAGGTTTTCCTGTTACGGGCCAAGCAAAAGAACGCTTGCGAGCTGGTACCCGGCCTGATGTGAGCATCAAATATCCAGCGCTTGGAAGTTCGGAGAACATGGTCGCGAGTTTCGCATGTGCGTTGTCGGCAGCATCGGCCATGTTCAGCTTGTTTTGGCAGTGACCCCTCCTTCTGCTGTAAGGCCCGGTCCTGCCGCAAGCGTGTGATAACCACGCGGACGAAGCGGCAGGAGGCCCGATGCCTCTTGTTGCAGAACGTGCTCAACAATTTGTGTTGCATCTGAGTTGATCTGCAGCAAGTGCACCGAAGCTCATCGGAGAGGTCGAGAATTCTCAAGCCCCAGGGTATTTTTGCTGATGTACAGTTTCAGCATCCTGTGGCAGGAGAAGAACATAGCAGCGGCTGCCATTCACTCCAGGCCAGCACTCTGAGAGCCTAAAACTTTCCTTGCTTTGCGTTCGTTGGTCAGAAAGTGGCACTTGCGTATTTCAGCGAGGGTGTGGGGTTTTCAGGAAGGGGGAGGAGAGATAGGGAGAGAGAGCGAGAGAGTCACGCGGCAGTCAGGTTAATTAGGAGGGTGATCGGGTCGATAGTCAAGCCAGAATCGCACAGGTCTTGAACCTAGCAAAGAACAGACATTCGCAAAGGCAGCTGGAGGAGTGGGGACCAAATCCAGTGATGTCTACCTCGGTGCGCCGTGCACGGACCGGTGTCGTTTCTGAGCACCTCGGCAGCTACGATTTCAGGGGAGGGTTTGCTATTGGCAGCATGATTCGGCATGTAGCGGTGGTGACCTTTCGTTGCGGCAGCCTTCTGGGATTCAAGGCCGTATTCGAGTTGCGCCACGGCATGTGCAACCACTGAGCAGCCAGAGCGGGTTCAAGCAGCTGAAGAAGGGAGGGAAATAAAGTGCCCGCATAGTCAGCATTGGCGCAGAAATCCGATACTAATGCAACACAGACGATCCGCGTTACCTACTTCAAGGCCTGGTATTGCAGGCGATCTGGAAAATCTGCCTTTCGGAGCGAAGCTTATTGGCATTCAGCTGAGGGGCGACAAATCCAAGCGAGAAGAAGGGGTCGCAGAGGAAAAGACACAGGCCTGGCAACTGCTGATGAGACTGGTGATGAGTCTGAGTCGGGTGAGCTGCAACGCAGTGGACCTTGAGACGTTCGAGGGCCTTTGTGTCCCAGTTCAGTCCCAAGCCTGTCAGAAGGATCAACCAATGTCAACCGAACCTGTCTTTAACAGTTGACACAGTTATACAACTTGAGCATACCGCCTTTGACATACATCCACTCCACTTACATAGGCTACCTTGCCCAAAAAATGCGGTAATCATCGTGTGCATGATGCATTCTGTGACACCGCTGGTGCTGTCAGCCATCCTGAGTTCCGTGACTAGGAGCCAGACATCAACAAGAAGGTCAGAGAAGAGGCCATGGCTTTCCCAATCGGATGTCGGGGCTTCGGCTTTAGGAGTTTGGGCTCCCCAAAGCACAGGTGGTATCACGAGCCTTCACTCGGCAGCTTGCATGTGTTTTCTTCAGTGCACGTTCTTTGTGGCAGACACCACCTCCTATCAAGGAGAAAGAGGCTTTCAACTCGCTCCTTTGGCCCAACTTCCTTTGTAAGAGAGCGTAGGAAAGAGTAGCAGTAGTAGTAGTAGTAGTAGTACTACTACTACTACTACTACTACTACTACTACTACGTACTAGTACTAGTACTAGTACTAGTAGAAGTAGTACTAGTAGTAGGCGTAGGAGGTATATAGTAGAAGTAGTAGGCGCCCCCCCCCCCTACCAACTACACTTGCTTAAAACCATCTTAAGAGCACATCCGTTTTACTCGGCATTTACAGCACTTTCGTCATGTACGATCATCATAAGATGCCTCAAAATCCACTTGCCGAGTTTGCTAACTCGGCCTCTTGATTTTGGACTTGCTGCGGGGGGGCGAGGTGGGGGGTGGGGGGGGATGATGACGA